ACTCCCAAAATTCCACAGCCAGCAAAGCAACCTTGGCAACCTTAAGATTTGTGGACTTCAACTCCCAAAATTCCACAGCCAGCAAAGCAACCTTGGCAACCTTAAGATTTGTGGACTTCAACTCCCAAAATTCCACAGCCAGCAAAGCAACCTTGGCAACCTTAAGATTTGTGGACTTCAACTCCCAGAATTCCACAGCAAGGCATGCTCAGTTCCGATTTAAAGCAACAGCATTTTTTTTCTACTTGAAAATCCTGGTTAAAAAGTGAGATTCCTTCTTTCTTTTTCTTTCTCCCTTCCCTTCCTTCCTCCCTCTCTCTGCCCCCACCCCTCTGTTTTACTTTTTAAAACCTATTTTCCCTTGCCTAAACCGGCAGGGAAAAGGGGCTTAAAAAAAAAGTTTCTGACGGAAGTTCGGGGGCATGGCCAAGCCACCATTACTACCAGTCCAGTCCGGTACACCAGATTTTCACAACCTCTTCTGGCATACCAGACAGGACCTGGAGGAACCCACCTCTGTCTTAGAGAAGCTAAGAGGTACTGGTCTACCAGATAGTGGGATCGCTCTACTCCAACCCATCGGGAAAGCATCAGTTTGAGGAATGCCAGACTAAGCCTGCCTAGGTTTTCAAACTCTCGGTTGCAAACAAACAGAATGGTAGAAAAGGCAGAAACATGGAACTCCCCTCCATTTATCTGCTGATTTATCTGTAGGGAAGGCTGCGCTGTCCACCTGGAATTTGTAGCAGCAATCTGTTGAATTTGGGGGGAGGGGGTTGTAATAATTTTTTATGCTATTTTTTAACATACAAAAATTCCAATTTCAATTGAACAGTATGTTGTCTTGGTACAAATCATTTTAGGAAATAATAAAATGTTTGCAAAAGTATTCATTGCATTAATATCAATTATATTAATATTGATAGTAATAATAATCATAATATTTGTTTAACCAAGTTAACCTATCTTCCTTATATCACTGATCCTTTCATATATTTCCCTGTTTCCAGCTCTTGTTTTTGTCAGCTAGCCATTGATAAAATAAGTCATGTCAAAAAAATGTTCAGTTTCTTTCTTTTCCTTAATTGTAAGTGTTAGCTTACCCATTTCTGCAGATTCTAATATGTTTCTAATCAGTCTTCATCTGTTGGGATCTCTTCACTTTTCCATTGTTGTGCAAATACTATTCTCTCTTACAATCAATTCATGTAAAATCAGATATACATTCCCTTTATTATACTTGTCTGGTAGAATGCCCAACAAAAATGTCTCTGGTTTCAAATCTGTATGCTGTTTTATCATATTTTTCAGCCATGTATGTATTCTTGTCCATTTTTGGGGGGGTGCTTTCTGACAACGCCACCGCAATTCGTTGAATTGTTAAACCTCAATCGATGATTTACTTCACGTTTTGTCCAAATGCTTTTGTTTTTCCTTGGGCAGTTGTGATCCCCTCCGGAGAGATGAAGAAGATCGTGGCAGTGGCAGTGCCTGGAGCAACAAAGAGGAAGCGAAACAAGCTTTTAAGGAGCTGCTCAAAGACAAGGTAATAATTGGAGAAGGGAAAGGAGGACATGAATTAAAGAGCCTTCCTAGGAATCGGAGCCAGTTTGATAACATTCCTTTATGCCCGTCGCTTAGCCTGCCAGGGAAATGGTGGGAAGTTTTGTGTCTTGAGTGCTTTCCATTGAGAGTGAAAAGTGTCAGTTTGTTGCATAAAGCACACATAGATAACTGGTGCAGCAGGATTCATTAACTTCTTTATATACATAAGAATATATGAATAAATGAACAATACCAACAGATGGTTCTTCCAAGTAAACACAAGGCAGGAGAGTTACAGGCAAACACAAGCAGTAAGTTTCATTTCAGCAGATAGACTGCTAGTTTACTTCTCAGAGCGGTAGGCTGCTTTCTTCTTAAGTTTCTGTTTCAATTCTCTGCACAGACTCAGATCTGTTGAAGCTCCCGTTGGCTGACTTAGTTGCTATGCCTATTCATTGGCTGACCTTGTTCCTATGTCTCTCCCAGTCATGAATATTTTAACAAAAAGGACCCTTTCTTTTTGCCATAGGAGAACAATGTCAAGGAATCTGTCCCTCTGGCAGGCTGATTTTTTTTATTGTATTCATTTTGCCAGACAGCAGGGAGGAGAGGAAAATATTTTTCCTGAAAGTTCAAGCAGAAGAAAATCAAAACACCAAACTTGTTCTACCTTGAGTTTTGCATTTTGTAAAAAGAAAAAGAAAGGGGAGGGCTTAAAAGAAAGAGCCTGCCAAGCAGAGCAGGCTTAACTAGTGCAGTCCAAGAGAAGAAGATGGTACAGCTTGATTGAAATGCCCCATTTTCTGGCTTTTAGGGTGTTCCAGCTGGTGCATCCTGGGAACAGACCATGAAGATTATTAGCAGTGACCCCCGTTTCAGGTATGATCCCGGGTGGATGCATCTAGTCAGTGGTGGGATTCAAATAATTTAGCAACCAGTTATCTGCCCTAATGCCCAGGTGGGTAGGTGTGGCTCAGTGGTCATGTGACTGGGTGGGCGTGGCCAACTCAATGTCACTCACATCGATGGGCGCTTCTTCACCTTAGCTGTTACAATGTAATAAGGGTTAACCAGAGAGGCCGTTTTTAGTAAGTATGGCAAGAAAGATTAGGCTAGAATCAACTCCAGAATGTTTCCTTCCTGCCTTCCTTACAGGATTAGCCCTGTAAAGTGGAAAAAAAAACAAAACAGGATTTCTTCCAACAGCCGGTTCTCCAAACTGTTTAGAAAGTTAACAACCGGTTCTCTCGAATGGGTGCGGACTGGCTGAATCCCACCACCACATCTAGTTCCCTCCGTTCCTTGTCAGACAATAAGTCTTAAGTTGCAGCCCTGTATGCTGAAAGCTCTAAAGAGAGAGCTCAGTTGAAGCGCCCTGCCCATCCACCTCATTTACTCACTCGGGAAACTAGAACTTTGGGTCGCCTGTTTTTCTTTGCCTGTTGCCCATGTGAGCCAGCTCTTGACCTCCGGCTTCTGTGTGTCCCAGTGCTTTGCCCAAGCTGAGCGAGAAGAAGCAGGCATTCAATGCCTACAAGGCTCAACGGGACAAAGAAGAAAAGGAAGAGGCCCGGCTGCGGGCAAAGGAGGCAAAGGAAGAACTGCAGCGCTTCTTGGAAGAACACAGCAAAATGAATTCTACCACCCGCTACAGGTACACGAGGATCGGGATGCTTGGTGGAACAACAATCCAGCGGGGGAAGGTTGGGAGCTTGGATGGTTCTTTCCAGACCGTTTTAGTGATTGCTAAGAGAACTTAGAGGGATGCAGTAGCTCAGTGGCTAAGACACTGAGCTTGTCGATCAGAAAGGTCGGCAGTTCGAATCCCTAGTGCCGCATGAGCTCCTGTTACTTGTCCTAGCTTCTGCCACCCTGGCAGTTCGAAAGCAGATAAAAATGCAAGTAGAAAAAATAGGAACCACCTTTGGTGGGAAGTTAACAGTGTTCCGTGCACGTTCAGTGTTTAGTCATGCCGGCCACATGACGACAGAGATGTCTTTGGACAGTGCTGGTTCTTTGGCTTTGAAACGGAGACTAGCACTTCCCCCTAGAGTCGGGAACAACTAGCACATATGTGCGAGGGGAAGCTTTACCTTTAAGAGAACTGGTATCTTCTTGGCTAGGTCTTGAAGGATCCTTTGAAGGAAATATATTAGGTGTGGCTGCCCCAGTTCCTTGAATAACATCAACTGTGATGATGAATAATTTTGCAAGGTTGCATGTCTGAACCTAGCAGAGACTTAGCACTTTGGGGAACAGGGAGCTGCATTTCCCAGTAATGAACCTAGAATTTTTTGCTGAATTTCCTGTGGGCTTGGCTGAGAGATATAAATGCTGAAAGAGTTGCAGTGTGAAGACCAGGAAAGATATGCTAGGCAGTCCAATTTCCCCTGTTTAGGCATGAAACAGGAGGTTGCTGTTACAGGTATCCCTCTTATTTTCTTTCTCTTGCTGCAACTCTGTCCTCACCAGATCAAAGTAGAGGGACCTTTGTTTGGTTTTTCCAAGCATGGATGTCCCCGAGCACCTCACGTTGCCTGCTTCATAAACTAGGATGTCCTTGATCTTTATTTATCCTCCCTTGAGGGTTGTCACCCTACCCTCCATCTCCAACTTTCTTTTCTCTTTCCATTCTCAGGAAAGCTGAGCAAATGTTTGGTGAGCTGGAAGTGTGGGCCATGGTGCCTGAAAGGGATCGCAAGGAGATCTATGATGACGTTCTTTTTTTTCTGGCCAAGAAAGAGAAGGTAAGTCAAGGATGAGTCAACGGCAGGAGTTCTGGATAGCAGTAAAAAAAAAATTCCAAGCATCATCCTTCCTCCATAGCCTTCCTTCCTGAGTAACAGCAGAAAGCCTAATCCCGATACTTGCTCCCAGAGATTGAGGGCAAAAATCCAAGATTTCTGGGATAAATACTAGCCACCAATATCCACAGATCCACAATCCACAGTTTCACCGGAATTACAAAGTTATTCTGACAAAAGCCCTGCCCCTTACATGTATGTGTCTGACCTTACTTACCAAAAGCTTGAGGTTTTCACTGGGACATCCTGACGCTTCCGTGCCTTGCCCCTGCACCTCCAAGCAGAAATCCACAGTCCTCGCATTAACTCTGCCCCCTTCCATCCCACCCAGGAGCATGCCAAGCAGCTGCGCAAAAGGAACATTCAAGCTCTGAAGAGTATCCTGGACAGCATGAGCCGTGTCAGCTTCCAGACCACTTGGTCTGAGGCCCAGCAGTACCTAATGGACAACCCCAGCTTTGCCGAAGACGAAGACTTGCAAAGTGAGTCCTCTTCCACCATCTCTTTGCCCCGGTTCCTCCTACCTTCATCTTTCTAACTCTTGTCTTTACATGCTATGGAAATCGTATATTCACATTAAGC